CAATCTTCTACTAGCTAAAAGTTCACAAAGCCACAAAAGAATAACAAAGAGTGTAGATATTCTCACCCGAATATCTTATTCCTCCACCTACCATTTAATAAAAATGTTAATAATATATTTATCCTTTTAAAAGAAGATTTTTAAATCCTTATTTAATTAATTACAAAAAGTTTGTAAAAAAACAAAACATAATTTAAAATAATAAATAAATAATGTTGGGTGGGGTGTGATATTTGTGGTGGAGAGAGGCTGGGTAAGATTTGGGCTACAATCCATAGAAAGGTTGGAGGAAAGAATTAAGTGTGTGCTAGACGGAGGCAAGAAACTTCAATGACGGAAAAAGAGGATGAAAAGTGGTTTGGAATTCGAGGTCTCTACCGAGCAGCGATAAGTGTGAGTGATGGGGTTTGCAGAGATGATGAATGTCCAAGTCTTGATTAATTAATATTTAATTATATTAAGCTATATTACACAAGCCTAATCCACACAACCATAAGGCTCAAGCCTTCAATCTATTACGAAATGGTCCAAATCCTAACTACTAGTATAAAAGACAAAACATATATAAATGCCCTTGGGAAACCTATGTTCCCCGATGCGGGACATGGAGGCTCAAAAGTCCAACATAGAGAGTCAACCACACACCCTCGACTAAAGTGGTAGATGATCATATGACCAAATGATTGCTCTGAAAGGTAATTCATAGGAGTGTGTGACTACAAGTTGGAATCATCCAGATGTTGTAGTCGGCGCATGCGGTATGGGCATCATTGGAGGGATTTTGGGGACGCTTGAAATAAACAATTTGATGTGAATCTATTTGATTGATTGGTCAAAGAAAAGATAGAGGGGCACTAGCAAGGTAACGAAGTTATGACAAATCTTCTTGTATGTAAAATCCATTTATAGGCATTAAGTTCGAATTTGTATAACATCTTGATGCATGGTGTGTAAAGTTGTTGATAACGTGTATCGAGGAAGCCTCTAGATTGGCTTAGGAGAAAGTACTTGATCGAAATTTCAACGCAAGTCAAGGGTGACTTCACTGAAGTCGCCATTAATACTAGGTACGGATGATATTTTCCTAGTAAAGAGTAATGGTGCTGATTTACTTGAAAGATAGTAAAATGGAGTTGCTAGTACAAGCTCCGTCAGTAACAGTGGTCAAAGCGTGCGCATGTATAAACCGAACCACCGACTGAGGAAAGTTTACAAATGCGTGTAAACTACAGTTGGAAAGTCAAGTGTAATCATGATTTGATTCTCAGTAATGATATCCAAATGATATCTAATCTGCATAGCCAACGGGATCTTACATCATCAAGATCAAGTGGGAGATGTTGGAATATGATCATGATGATGTTGGCTTTACTATGTGTGTATTTGATGTGTGAAGGTGCACCATAAGATTGGTGTACTGATATACACTTAAACAAAGGGTGTGAAAAGAAGTATGACTTATCATAAGGGTTATACCTTTTTATAAGTTATGTGTCTTATCATAAAAGAATAAAAATCATTCTGAGAAATCTCAGAACTCTTTAGAAAGGCTCTGATGAAGTCTATAAAAGGAGGATTCATTCCTCTAAACAAATAATTCAACGTGAAACAGATTCTCTTATTCTCTTTGATGTGCTATTTCTCCCGACTCTACTACATACTAATTAATATTTTTACGACATTAGAGTTTGATCCTGTGACGATCGTGCTAAAACCATCAATATGCCCAGAAGTATGAGATCAATCGAGGAATGTTTGGTTTGAGTTTCTGAAGCTCCAAACAATTAATTCAGAAGAAAAAAATGTATACAGTGTTTGGCAGCTATGCAATTTCGCTAATTTCTTTTTTATTCTTAAATTCAAAAGCATTCTACATTTGTTCTTTTTTGGGGTTGTGAAGTCTACATATATTATCTCCTCGATCTCTCATCACATCGAAAAATGTGTTGAAAGAGAAGTTTGATGTAGACAATTGGATCGAATTTTTAGTCCGTCTGGTTGTTGGCATGCAGAGGGAATATTTAATATCATCATTAGAATAGAATATTACTAGATATTGTTGTCCATACGTTGCTGTGCGATTAGAAATTGTATGAAAAATTATTTTAAAAATATATAAAACATTGTGTGATAGAAGATTAATATTATTTACAATGAAAACTTTGGTAAAATTTTTACATCAAAAGATTTGACGATACAACCCACAAACAAAAGACCTTATAAAGTTGTGAAGTCGTTCAGGCATGAAGAAAAAATAACAATTGAGTTTTGGGAAATTCCTCAAATGTCATTCTGCAATATGTATCAAAGAAGCTTGGTATAAGATTAGTAATCATGAGTAGTGTAACAACATAAAATAACTATTATACAGAGTTGAGCATAATTCAAATGTTGTTTGCAAAAACAGAAGAAAAAGAAAACAGACTTACAATAATTCGACGTTCAATGTCGAGGCCCTGCTCAAAGAGCCAAATTTGAATGCAAGCTTTCTGCAATTTTCCAAAAAATACAAATACAAAGAGTAATGAATCTCAAAATTCTTTCTTCTTTTTAATGTTGTTAAAGAATCTTGTGTTTCAACATTCACTAGGCTTTGAAAGTCATGGGTCTTAGAATTGTTTTTGAATGCATGCTTACTTAAAGTGTAATTAGTTTGCATACGTGTTCAAATGTTCTCACATGTTCTTAGTTAGGACAAATTTTTTCCTTCACATTATTCATTAAAGAAAGAGAAAAAGAAGAAGAATTAAAGGGAGGCAAACTGATCACCATTGGGAAAGAAAAGGCATGGCAAGAAGGCTGCGGTAAACCAAGGGCTTTTCAAGAGTTTTTCTAAACTTAGTTTTCTTCTTAATTTTATGGATTCAATAATATTTCCAGTTATATTTCGGAACTAATTTCTTTTCGTTAGGGTTATGATGTAGCCTAACTATGAATTCTTAATTTCTCAGTTTAATTATTTACGAATTTCAGTTCATTGAGTATCATTTTGATGTGCTTATGAGCTTGATTTTAATCTTGGTGACTAGCCACCACTTTGGTTTGAACTGAGTGTATGTAATGCAAGTTAACGCAGATGCCACGTTGTTAATTCTATTCTAGCGTCCTGCAAAGGGTACCATGAATTCCTTGATGTAGATGCCATACACTAGGTTTCATGTGGTCCTTAGTTAGTTCCCAAATTGTAATGAATTCATATGTGTTTAGTAATCTGGATGCCATAGATTGTTAGCACATAGGGGTATATGTAGTAATCTGGATGTCATAGGTACTATATGAATTAGAGGAACTAGACCGTCAAGAAGGGTGATTACTCGTTAATGATTAACTGTTGGAATTGATTTGGATTGGTTATGGTGAATTGGATGCTCTAGTGTCTTTCGCAATGATTTATAATTTGATTTCTTTGTTGTTCTCGTCACTTATTTAAGCTCATTTGATTTTTTATTTACATTTACAATTTCAAAGTTCTTTCTCAATTTGTCAATCGTTCAATTGCAATTCAAGTGCAATTTAAATTAGTTGGATAATTAGAATTACATCAATCTTAGTTGGAACGATCTTGTGCTTTCCTACTATACTATACTACGATTCGTACACTTGCGAGCATTAAAATTTGAAACTTAATTGGGTTAATTTTGGTTAATGTAATTTTGGCAATAACAATGGTTCACTTTCTCTCTCTCCCTCTCCCTCTCGGGCTCTCCCATCCCCATCTCTCGTTAGGTCTCTCCCTTGCTTGGTGTCTCCCTCGATAATTTCTTTAAGGTAATTTCATGTCACTTTGGACATGGGGTCGGTGTAAAAATGAAACCCCGCATCCAGCGCGCAAGTAAAAGTAAAAATAAAACAAAAACAAACTTCTCTTATTCCAATAATCTAAAAAACCTTACACAAGTACAAAAATGAATAGAAAACCATTAAATACCTCTTACAACACAACCTCAACTCATTTACCCTTCGTTAGCTTGTACTGAACTTGCAAGGCCTAAAATGTATAGGGTGAACAAAGCCACAGCTTAGTAGGGACATAAATCTTATCAAGGATAATTGTCAAGACTAAACCGAGTGTCATGCAACAAATAAATCAAATATATCATGTCATCAAACATATATTATATATCATGAATGCAGTTTAGCTTCAATTACCCATCCCGTTAATTTATATAATAAAACAAGCGGACATGCACATCCCATACCATACATTTTACCACTGCAGCGATGGTCCAAATGCTCTATTATACAAACTAGCACTCGTAATCCTATAATCCCAAGTTTCCCTTTTTGTTGGTCTTCTTGTTCTCCTCTTGGTCTCTAGATTCCCCACTACTTCATACCATTCATATAATTTCACTTTTGCCACTCATGCGGGTACCTACGAGAGTCGAACATAACCACACAAAAGATGGTTCAATTTCCATATCCCAATCTCAAATATTCCAATAAAATTCTGCCACTCCAATATGCATATGCATATAATCAACATTAATTATCACAATATCCACACTATCGAAATAACAATAATCATTGTTCTAAAAAATCGTCGCCTAGTGCCGTCTAGGCGCTAGGCTGCTGACTACCGTCCCGATTAATCTCTAGGCATTTGAAAATTAAAAAAGAGTGCCTAGACCTGCTTAGACGTGGGCCTAGACCCGCCCATGTTGTGACTGTCACTTAGACAAAAAATCATTAACTTTTGTTTTGCATTTTTTTTAAAATAAAATATAAGAGATTTGTTAAATATTTGGATGAACACTCATTATATGCTTATTCTCTATGTTTTCAATATGTACTAATATTTTATAATCTATTTGTCACTTTATTTTACAATTTATGTATTCCCATATAATTATGCAATTCTTTTTAGAAAAATACCTAAAAATAGGATATTTTCATAATTTTAAAACAGAAATATGATATTTTCAATATGCACAAGCACGCACATGCCACGCACAAAATGGGACAGAAATAAAAATTTTCCCACAATTTATAATGTAATATATCAATGAGTTAATTCTTTCCGTTTTCTGATTTCTCTCATCTCTCCTCTCTCTCTCTCTCTGTACGATTTCTACACTCTCTTCATCCCAATCCGCATTCAATTTCTTGACAAATTACTAACCCTAACCCTAAGCCCCTTTCAATCTGCAATCTGGGTTTTAACGTGCGAGAGTTGTACTTGAGTTTGATAGCAGATAGCGATCTGCAAAGTTCAAACCCATTTCCAATTTCTGTAAATGCTCTAGAGTCTCTCTCTTTCTCTCTCTCTATCTATATATATATATATATCTTTGTCTGAAGGAAAAAGACAATGGAGTCCACCAAGTCCTACATATCGTCACCAGAGGCCCCACAGAGACGCTTATCGCCGCCGCCGCCCAAATCACCTTTAGCAATTACATTCGTTTTCATATGAGTACGTCTCCCGATTTTCTCATAATTCGCTTCTTTTTCCCCAATTCTTACATTTTCCTAAACCTAAATTTCATCCTAATTTGATCCAATTTTGTAAGTCTGAGCAATCATGTTTCTGTAAGTATTTGAGTATCTAATTGCGGTGGTTGTGGGTGGTTACTCTTGTTGTTTTCTTAGGAATTTAACATTGAGAAGCGGCATGTGGTTAGAGGCTGAGAAGAGAAGATTCAGGTTTGATAATTTTTATTTTTTTTTTTGTCAAAAATAAAAGCATGTGAGTTTTGTTACTCTGTTAACTCACGTTCGGCATGTATACTTGTGTTTATTTTAAGTATTGATTAGATTTAATTTTAAGTATTGTAATCAAACTTGTTAACTACACTTGTTGAGGACATAACAGAACAAATTCAATAATAGTTTAACCAAGTACAAATTATCGGTACTCGGTACCGCATGGTGATTGTCGTGGTTATTATTCTGCTGCATGTTTATTCTTAACTTTTAGTTCTTGTGGGTAGAGAATTATGGGTTTTTATTATAAGTGGTCCTTGAACCAGTTTTATGTTTAGATGTGCCTAATCTGTAGTTTAATGAACTTTCTAGACTTGTACCGGTTCTTTATGAGCTTATATAAGTTTCATAATGTTGCATGTTATTGATTTCAGTTCAATAGAAGAAGCATATGGTGTTATAAGAATGCAATATTTACCTTAATAATCTCAATAGTAATAAGGATATGACTTCTGAGTTTGGGGTGCTGCAAATGACTAAAGCTTATAGTTTTCTACTTGTTCCTTATCTCTATGTCATTTGTGATGGACCAACCTTATCCATTTTTAGGAGTAAAGACCTCCTGACAATCATCAAAGATCAACGGTCAAGACTTGGTTAGTTTCTTATAAGTTAGAGTCAATGTTAGTCAAAGAATATGTTGGAGTTTGTTAACTTTGTTTAGCTGAGTTGTCTTCTAGTTAATCCATGTGTATCTGAGTTTTTAATTAGCTTTGTAACCATTATTCTCACGTAATGTAAAAATGATCTATCTCACACGTTTTAACTGGTTGAGTTTGATATCAATAACTCGATCATCTCCCACTAAAGGACTGCTTCATGGTTCGAATGAAGCATGTCATCTGAGAGAGATTGTTTTAACTAGGGAACCCGAAGCCACCTATGCACAGGAGCGTGCACGTATTCAGAAGGTAAGGGTTGCGTATATGTAAAGTGGGATTAAGACTTAGTTGAGTTTATAATGCTTTTTATGTTTACTACTTTCTGGGGGACTGATGATTTCTGAATTGTATGAATGTTTAAGCCCTCTTCTCCTCCTCTTTGTTGCGGCACAAGGGTTTGTTGTGAGTTTTGGGGGTTATGGATGGTGTAGAATGATGTGTTTAGGATATGGATGGATGTAGGGGACGGCAAGGCTTATTTCTGGGCAGAAAATATGAAGAATGGTGAAGTATGGATGTGTTAGAGAGAGGGGATGAATTTCTGGCGTGCATGGTGAATGAATGGATCCTTTGTGGCTGCAACAAGGATGTTTATTTATAGGTGGCTGAATGATTAAAGAGGGAATATGAATGGAATGACAGCTAGGTTGGTTGGTGGCTGCAATAATGAAGGGGGAAAGCTGGAATATGTATGAATGTTGCGGCACAAAAGGGAAGTGGCTGGAATTGGTATGAATGCACGGCAAAGGATAGATTTAAGAGAGAATATGGCTGATTGTTTTTGGAAGAATGATATTGAAATGGGAAAGCATGTGGCTGCCAACTAGGGTGAATGATTGAAATGGGAAAGCATGTGGCTGAATGATTAAAGAGTGAATGGAAGTGTCGGCTAGGGAGAGAATGTGGCTGATTGTTTATGGGAGAATATGTATGATGGTGGCTGAAATAATGAAGGGAGTGAATGGAAAAACAGCTAGGGAGTGAATGATTAAAGGGTGAATGGAAGAATGTGCTGCAATGATGAAGAGGGAAAGCTGGAAATGGAAGGGGAATGCACGGCACAAAGGAAGAGCATGTGGCTGATGAATGAATAATGTCATGGTGGCTGAAATAATGGGAGTTAATGAATGTGACAGCTAGGGAATATGGAAGTGTGCAGCTGCAATATGAAAAGAATGACTAAATAATGCATGTAGGGTGCGGCTAAGGTTGGAAATGTGTGAAAGATGGCTGGAATTAGGAAAGGTTTAAATGTTCTAAAACTAAAGGAAACAAGGATCCCTTGCACGGCAAGGGATGATGATAAAGGGAAAGTTTGACATGGTGCACGGCAAGGAAGAGGAAAGGTCAAGGGACCTTTGTTTTGTGTCCTAGAATGCATATGAAGTCTTCAAAGTGTTTGGGACATAAGGTCAATTAGAATTTAGGAAATGTCACACTAAGATAGGAAACCCTGGGCTTAACTTTCCTACTTCAAGTAGGAAACCTTCTTTGACTAGGATTCCTCATTTGATTAGGAATCCTCTTGTGATTAGGAATCCTCTTCAATTTCGTCTATTCCTTTTGCTCCAAACATAAGCTATCCATTCCAAGTCCAATTTTGCTCCAAAATGCACCTTTTTGCTTCTTTAGCCATATGAACCTAAAAACACACGAAACTGGCATAAAAAACTAAAATAACTAAGGAAACACAACGTAAATGCACGAGAACAAGCCAATTAAGTCGCATAAATATGTTCCTATCAAATTCCCCCACACTTAGCTTTCGCTAGTCCTCGAGCAAAACAAATAAACTAAACAAAACGAAACAAAACAAAACAAACAAAAGACAATCTAAACCTTCCAACATTGCCTCAGGGATTTCCAATGCACATGACATGTTAAAAATTCATTATCTCCACAGATTTTAGTCATCGTCACACTTAAGTGAAGGAAAAATTTTGTCCTAACTAAGAACATGTAAGAACATTTGAATACATATGCAAACTAATAACACTTTAAAGTAGGCATGCATTCAAAAACAATTCATAAAACCCATGACTTTCAAAGCCTAGTATATGGTGAACCATAAGACTTTTTAACAATATTAAAGAGAATAAGAATTTAGAGATTCTTTACCCTTGAAGCTCATCCTTGATTGCACAAGGGATTCACCCAAGTGGAGGGCCTTCAAGTCACCTCCTTGCTCCTTGGATCTTCCTTGTGATTTCCTCCCTTTTAGTGCTCATTTTCTTCTTTGAGGATTTGAGGATTTGTTCTCCAAAACACCAAAGGTTTGGTGTCTCTAAGTCTCCACACCAAAGATGTAGTGTGAAGATGAAATGGATGACTTAGGGAAGAAAAGATTGCTAGATGTTCCTCCCCTAAGTGGCCAGCCTCTATGTAGAAAATGAGAGAAAATGTTTCACCCAAATTCAATTAGAAAACCCTAATTTGAAACAAAGCTATAATGTTGATTTTATACTTCATTTCATGTGAGTGGCAAACTTGTAATTAATACAAGTTTGCTACCCCTCACCCTTATGGCCGGCCTCTATGTTGTTAGTGGGCTTAATTGCCCATTTTGTTTTAGTTGTCATACAACTTAAACATAATGGGCCTTGTGGACCAAAACGTTTTTGCGCCCCGAAGTCCAAAACTAACTTAAACGCCCAATACGAACGTTTCGTATAATTAATTAACTATTTAATTAATCTTGACCATTCTTCAATTAAACCATTTAATTGCTTATCCATTTCATATAATTTCTTCACTTATATCCTTACTCGGTGTACGATCCATTAGGTTCCAATTAGCGAGGTAGTGGGCGATGTTACTCTTAACGATCGATTGTGAATTGAAACCACATTTCAATTCTCCCTTAAAATTAGTGTTTGCTAATCTTTAGGGCTTCCACAAACCATGGGTAACGCCTAGCAGCATGTCATGGTTACCCAAGTTAAGTAGAAGTGGTTGGAGAACCTATCCAGTTACAACTACAATGCAATACGGTCATTCTCTAATACAATACTCTTAATCATATTATTTAAGTGATAGTTTGTTTCATGTCTACTATCCAATGTGATACTTCTCTATATGATTCAATTGAATAAGATTTGGAACAAGCTTCCTAAGTCATATTCATATGCTTTGGCCAAATACTCTCGAATCATATCTTAGAGTATTCTCCTTCCACCATGTAAGGTTAGAGATCCCTTGTTGTGCATTCATATGCCTACATGACTAGATAGCTTGACCCCAACAATGCCGTGGACACTCCAATGGAATGCCGTTGACATAATCAAAGATCAAGGACCTAACCATTAGACATCAATGATGCCTCAGGTCAAAGGACTACTTTGCATATTGCAACTATTGAGTTCTCACATGACATGTATGTTCGAACTCTCGTTTGATCGTTGTTCAGTGTACTCGATTACTCTTTCGAGCACCTATGTGTTTGCCTTAGTGTCCAACACCTAATGATTTGAGACTAGTTCATACTCACGCTTGAGTCGACATAACACATACTAACCTTAGTGGATTGTCAATGCCCAATTGGCAATCCAATGCCCAATTGGCAATCCTATGCCTAGGAACGTTTTAGGAATGAACATAAGAGAAAGGTCTTGTTAATTTAACTAACTTAAATCACTTGTCTCTTAGATCAAATACATTCCTTGGATTCCCTTATTGCTTAAACACAAGATACAATAAATAGTGATTAACAATAAGCTTTGCCCTTCATTAAACATATAAAAGTTTAATACATTAAGTATTCCAAAAAGCTATTACATCAAATGAGTGGCTTTGTGGGCATACTTCCAACAATCTCCCACTTGCACTCAAAGCCATCTTCCCATGTATCTAATACCCATCTTTTCCATATGATGGTCAAGCTGGATTTGAGACATTGGCGTTGTTAGTGGATCTGCTACGTTATCGGCTGAAGCAACTTTGAGGATGTTGACTTTCCCCTTGGTAGCATATCATATAATTAAAGCGCCTATCAAAATGCTTGTTCTTTTGATGTGCCCTGGGTTCCTTGGCTTGAGATATCGCCCCATTATCATCACAGTACAAAGTTACTGGTGATGTAATGGTTGGAACCACTCCAAGTTCAGTGATGAACTTCTTCATCCAGAACGCTTATTTGCCGGCTTCAGCTGCAGCGACATATTCAGCCTCTGTCGTGGAATCAGCAATTACACTTTGTTTCTTGCTTTTCCAGCTGACAGCCCCACCATTCAGAGTGAATACATATCCGGAGTTGGAACTTCTATCATCGACGTCAGATTAGAAATCTGCGTCTGTATAGCCTTCCACTCGCAACTCTGTCGCTCCTCCATAAACGAGGAACATGTCCTTAGTTCTTCTTAAGTACTTAAGGACTGTCTTGACAGCTGCCCAGTGTTCTGATCCTAGGTTAGATTGATATCGACTAGTAATGCTCACAGCATATGCGATATCAGGCCTTGTGCATATCATGGCATACATAAGACTTCCTATGGCGAAAGCATAAAGAATCATATTCATATGCCGTATCTCTTCAGGAGTCTTAGGTCTCATGGACTTAGAAAGATGAATTCCATGTCCTACAAGAAGAATACCTTTCTTAAATTGTTCCATTTGGAACCTACTTAGCACCTTATCTATGTACATAGATTGGGATAATCCAATTAATTTTCTGGATCTATCACGATAGAGCTTTATCCCAAGTACATAAGATGCATCTCCTAAATCTTTCATGTGGAAGGTTTTGGACAACCACACTTTTACAGAAGAAAGTATTGCAGTTTCATTCCCGAATAGTAATATGTTATCTACATATAACACTAGGAATACAACTGCTTCCCCAACGACCTTTTGATAAACACAATTGTCGTCTTCGTTTTGAGTAAAACCAAACGATTTGATTTCAGTATCAAAACGAATGTTCCAGCTCCTGGAGGCTTGCTTAAGTCCATAAATGGACCTCTGAAGTTTGCATACCTTAGTTTTTTCAGACTTGGACACGAAACCTTCGGGTTGAGCCATATAAAGCTCTTCCTCTAGGTAGCCATTCAGAAAGGCTGTCTTCACGTCCATTTGCCATATTTCATAATCATGGTACGCAGCTATAGCAAGCAAAATCCGAATAAACTTAATCATGGCTACAGGAGAGAAAGTTTCTTCATAGTCAATCCCTTCTCGTTGCCTGTAACCCTTGGCTACTAGTCTAGCCTTATAAGTCTCCACGTTCCCATCAACGCCTATCTTCCTCTTGAATACCTATTTATTTCCAACAGGTACTATACCTTCTGGAGGGTCTACAAGAGTCCAGACCTGATTTTGATGCATGGAATCCATCTCGGATTTCATGGCCTCATGCCATCTCTTTGAATCAATGTCGGACATTGCTTCATTGTAGTCTCTAGGGTCCTCCTTTGTGTCATTGTCACCTAGAAGGTGCAATTCCGCAAAGTCATTGTCTAAGCC